TGTGTGCGTTAGTAAACAAAAAAAACGGAGCAGGCGCGTAAAAATACGTTATTTACCACGCTTGATGATTCACGCGCCTACGGCGCGTCGAAAATGTGTATTCCTATGCCCCCTTTTCCGAAATCTTATATACGTCCCCGACCACAGAGGTCTCAAAAACACGGACGGTCGCAAGTGGTTCTGCTCCCAGCACCGGTTTCACTTCCTTCTGCGCATGGCATAACAACTTGCGACGCTGGGCGCACACCATGCCAGAAATCGAACGACTCTTATTCCTCGGCGGCAGGCGCGCTCAGCATAGCTGACCTGGACGACCCTGCCGTCGGTGCTGGCGTCCTGCAGCTCTGGCACATACGTCAGGCTGCCGTCCTCCTCCTCGCGGAGGATGATGACGGCTGCCTCGGCGCCCGTCTCCGCGACCGGCAGGCCGGCCGCAGACCCCTGCACGCAAGAGGGCGGTGTCAGGCGGCGTTCGGCGCCGGCCCGCGGCGCAGCGCGGTCCCAGCCGCACCAAGCGACGGCCGCGCCGCCGACGCCGCCGGTGGAGACACCACCCGACACAAGCGGCAGAAACTCTGACACGGTCCGGGGGGTGGGACGGGGACCAGACTACCCAACTCACTACGAGACCTGACCATCCTGACCTCCTCAGGGATCTGGACGCATGGTGACCTGCTGAGGAGCCTGGCCACGTGACATGCCGAGGGGCCCGACCGTGAGACCCTGCCAGAGCGGCCCTGTCCGAATGACCTGACCGTCTGACCTGCTCAGGAGCCTGGCCGCATGACCTGCTGAGGGGCCTGGCCGTGAGACCCTGCCCGAGCGGCTCTGTCCCACTGACCGGACCATCTGACCTGCTGAGGAGCCTGACCACGTGACCTGCCGAGGGGCCCGGCCGTGAGGCTCTCCGACTGACCTGAGACTGCTGCCGCTCCTGCTGCAGCTGCTCTCCGGCCTCCAGCCGCTGCTGCTCCTCCTTGTGGTGCGAGGCCAGGTGCTTGTCCAGGCTCTTGGCCATCTTGAAGCGGAAGCTGCACAGGTGGCAGGCGTGCGGCTTGGCGTTGCTTGCCGTCGCTGGTGCAGCCTCAGATTGCTGGCGTTGATGAACCTGGCGACGGGAGGCGGCGCGTCAGGACACGGCACCTCTCGGTGAGGGGGGGACGGGGGCCGGGGCCGGCGGACGACAGTTATCCGTTGATGAACCTAGCGACGGGAGGCGGCGCGTAAGGACACAGCACCTCTTGGTGAGAAGGGGACACGGACCGGGGCCGGCGGACGACAGTCATCCGTTGATGAACCTAGCGACGGGAGGCGGCGCGTCAGGACACGGCACCTCTCGGTGAGGAGGGGACACGGACCAGGGCCGGCGGACGACAGTCATCCGTTGATGAACCTAGCGACGGGAGGCGGCGCGTAAGGACACAGCACCTCTCGGTGAGGAGGGGACACGGACCAGGGCCGGCGGACGACAGTTATCCGTTGATGAACCTAGCGACGGGAGGCGGCGCGTCAGGACACGGCACCTCTCGGTGAGGAGGGGACGGGGGCCGGGGCCGGCGGACGACAGTTATCCGTCGATGAACCTAGCGACGGGAGGCGGCGCGTAAGGACACGGCACCTCTCGGTGAGGAGGGGACACGGACCGGGGCCGGCGGACGACAGTCATCCGTTGAACCTAGCGACGGGAGGCGGCGCGTCAGGACACGGCACCTCTCGGTGAGGAGGACACGGACCAGGGCCGGCGGACGACGGTTATCCGTTGCGGGAAACACGGCCAGTCGCGAAAACAACCACGTCTGGAACTGGAGGGTGACTTGGCACAGCCGAGCACACGAGAGGCTGTCGTCGAGACACCCATAACTGGGAGGCGAACGATGTTACCACGCAGAAGAATTGTCGAAAAGTTGTGGAAACCCAGTCAAGGGGATCGCTCCAAGGCGAGAGAACTGTTCAGGGAGATTTTCACTGATGGACGATACAGGCAGAAAAATGGTATGTTCAGCAGGTGCCATAGTCCACACACGCGAGTGCAGAACACCAGTAATACAATTCATGCAAAGAAAGGGGCCTTCGCACTTTGGCACGTTAGCACGGGCAGCTATTCTGACTGCTCACCTTTTGGAGCAGATGGTGCATACCGGAAACCTGTGCTCCGGATCGAGCACTTCAGGCGACTCGCCATTCTGCACATCTTCGTTCAGGTGCATCACCTGAAAACGCGTTCGTTAAGTGTTGGTTCAACGCGACTTATACTTGAAATGATCGCTCTGCTAATGTATGATAATGGTCTGGCCGATCGAACCCAACAACCAACAGTGCAGGCACCAACCACTCTGTCCGAGGTTGGATTCAAGACAGACAGCTCATTCCTGTAGCTACCAAGCAAACCAGGACCATAAAGCGGGCGACTGAACTCTGGAGGGATGTGAGCGTTCCTTCAAATGTGGAAGATATTGGGGTAAATGCCAGATATGATGAAACAATGAAACGAGCTCACTAGTAACCATTGTTTTGCTTTGAAGTGTACAAGACTCTACACAAATAAAATTCACTAATTAGTAAATATGTTCCTCAATACGTCATCGTTTGATTACGTCATGGAAACTTTTTATGACGTCAGAGTTGCTAGAATTGTCACTGTAGCGGACGAGCCGACTCACTTAAGCACTTCAACTTGCCGAAAGGTGACGTTCTTTGCAACAGTATGTTTGCTGAGCCCAAATGCCGTTTTGTGCTCGTGTTTTAGCCCTTCGTGATGTTCTTACATTTCTGCGCTTTTTTCTCGCCAATTGACTGACTGAATGTTATACATTTGCAGGAAAACATGGGTTGGCCGTGATAAAACACGTTTTGATCCATTCGATTTACAGTCTACACTTACGGGGGCATCAATATCTCGGTAGAATCCAGATCAAAGTTCTGTTGAAGGTTCTGAGATGCAACGGTTTACAAGGAGTCCAATAAGCCAATATAAAAAGAAGAGCGCCGGCATTACATTTGATGCAGGCGTTTAACACCTAGTTTCCTCAGTTTATTCCCTTCAAAATTCCAATGGAATTCCTTCCGCAATAGCTTCTGGCATCTTCCTGTTATAGAAGAAAAACGTCATATTAAAACGACGAAAACTGCGCCCTCGTTAACGGATGGTCCATCTCCGGCGATTTTTTGGGAGGGCCTTTCACCGCCATTAAGATGCGCACATTTTACTTATTAATACGCTAGGCGAAGGCGCAACTGCATTCCCTCAGCTTCACAAAACAGGTACCTATATAAGAAGCTGATGCAAACTGGCAGCCTTCCACACGTGATTTCTGTGACTACGCACATGGGCTTTAAATGCACAACTCTCGTCCCTTAATCATTTTGAAAAATCGACACCTCTGGTGGGCGTATTAAGTAATTACTTTTCTGTCCGTTTCGTTCCGTATATGGCTCATACAAGCGGAATCTGGCGACTTACGCTTGACAAAACGTGTCACCGTTTTTGAAACCCTGCTGCGAATTATGACACCGACCTAGTCCTGTGATTACAACAACTTTGATCCTAAATCTGACAAATCCTGAGATTGGTCACAGGAAGTGGTATCTTCACAGCGAAAACTCCGTGAAACACTGGTTCCAAATGTGATTAAACCCCGATCTGATACGGGGGATGGGTCGATGCAACCCCTCAACACTCAGCTTTTTCAGGATTCCCCTCCGGCATGTTGTGCAACTGCGTCCACATTTTCGTTAGCCCATGGGGCTTCCATCGCGCATATTTTGACACCAGAACGGGTTCCCAGCTTTTCTGGCTTCAGAGCAGCGGCGTTTTTTGTTTTCAAGGAACACTGTATGGCGATCTACGGCCGGCGCGGGCGGCGGGCGGCAACCAATGATGCTGAGTAGTCGTGCGGCGGGCCGACATTGTATCAACGGGGCCAAATACCATAAATATACGCTCCAAGCACATGCAGATATACACCACTGAACTAAAAATTGGAAAAGAAACACGCCCGAGTAGACTTCGTGTCGTCACAAACCATGGCCACGTATGCGTGATGCGAAGATGAAAAACTGCGATTTTATGGAAGACGTAACCATTTACCTGGCATGATTAGGTCAACTTTTTACCTGTCCGCATAAAAAATATTAACAAGCGGGAGTTTTCATTGAGGTCAATCCAGTGCTATGTTACGCTAACGAGAGTTCTCATTGAGGCCAATCCCGTACTATGTTACGCTAGTATCAATCTATTTTAGTTTGGAAACACCAGGAAAGTCGCAGTAAACCCCTATCAGTGTACGTTATAAAAATTGCAAATCAGGTCAAGGGTTTGAAAGGACATAGCTGTTAACTGCATTGGATGAAAAACGTTATCTAAATATAGCCAATCTTCAAAATGGCTATCTCAGTTCAAAACCTCATACACGTGTGGAGCATTACCAGTAACAACGTATCAGTCGCACGCATCGTGGCAAAATATCCAAACAAACAAACTACAGCGTCGAGGCAGTGGTGGCTATTCCACTCAACGCTCTGCTCCTGCGGCACCCATCGGCCGTCCCCGTCACCTGGTGCAGCTTGAAGCGGCTCCGGTTGTAGAACGTCAGCTCGCAGCGCACGCACTTAAACGGCTTCTGGCCTGAGTGAATGCGCTCATGCTCGGTGAGGTGCGACTTCTGCTTGAAACCCTTCTGGCAGACGCCGCACACGAACGGTCGGTGGTTGGTGTGCACGCGTACGTGGTTCTCGAAGGCCGCTGGCGAGACGAACTTCTGCGGGGAGGACGGAAGGCGGTGGATCTCAGAAACGGGACGACAAGCCCGACCGGAGCTGGGGCAGTCACACCCACCGGCACTGGCCGCGGATCGCGGCGACCGCCGCAGCTCGGTCACGATATCGGGGCCAGCGCGCGGCCCAGTCTTCACAAGAGGCGCAGGCGAGAAAGGCGAGCCATATCCGGCGGGGCGACTGCACTGCAGTTGCAGGAGATCTTTCCGTCGTCGGTGGAGTCTCACCTTGCCACAGAGGTTGCAGAGGATGCCCTTGTTGTCGCGGTAGCGGCGCGGCCGCAGGGGGCCGCTGCCCTTGTCGTGCAGTTCCTTGTGACGCTGCAGATTCGACTCGAACTTGAACCTGTCGCGGTCAGACCTCGGTCAGATAGCACCCAGGCGAATGGGTGCATCAGTCAAAGCACGTTAACTGTTCAACCAAACGTTTTACTTTTATAACTCCATGTCTAGAATCGCCGACATGGTGCCAGAGGGCCGCACCCAAGGCCGTTGTAAACGTCACCGCGCCGCATGGCGCACTCAGCGCACACTGGCGCCGGCCCGGCACGTGCCACTCACGAGCGACCGCAGACGGGGCAGCTGAAGTGACGCACGGTATCGTGGCAGCGCACGTGGCGGCGCAGGTGGACGCGCTGCCGGAAGGCCTTGCCACAGTCGGGGGCGGGACAGGCGAACGGCCGCTCATCCGTGTGGACGCGCGCGTGCACCTGGTGGCGGGAGGCGGCTCGGGTCAGTGTGAACCTCGCGCCGAGCGCCACTGGCGCCGACCGGTGTCGGAGGCGCTGGCACACGCCTGGGGCGAGCTTTCAGGAGGGGAGGGGGCGTTACTTGTAAATGCTCATCGTAGCTGGCGCCTAGACTCGTATAACTGTTAAGCAAATAAACAGTCTGTGGTTGTAGGAGAAAACAAAATCAGACAAACACAAAAAAGTCAATCGCTTTGAGCGCTTGACTTCTTCTGCTTGGGACTAACACACAACCTGTTCTTTCAGCGTTATCTCACCTGTCAGTGTAACGTGTCCATTAAGCATCACATTTGTTTATAGTGTTTAATGATTTACAAAAATAACACCCATTATACGACCATCGATACGTGGAGTTATGACGCCAGACCATCGATACGTGGAGTTATGACGCCAGACCATCGATACGTGGAGTTATGACGCCAGACCATCGATACGTGGAGTTATGACGGCAATCATCACATCGCTTGCCGACCGTTGATGCAGGCACCTATGGCAATAATCATTACATTGATCAGCAATGCCTTCCACGGTCGGCTTAGGCACAAGATGCAAGGAGGAAGGACATAAGTCGCGTTCCAAGACCAGAGGCAGGCACCTTTCATTCACCAGGCTCGACCGTGCACTGACCATGTGTAAATAACTGTTCAGCGACCGGCGTAAAGCTCGCGGTGGCAAGAATCTATCGCTCCACTGTGACAAATACTCGGGCCGGCATCGGCACCGACGACCGACAGCGACGCGGCGTTGCCACCTTCAGTGTCTGGCGGTTGCAGCACATTTTGCCACAGAAGCTGCACTGCACGCTGCTGGAGGTTCGCCGCGCTGGCCGTCTGCTGCTGCTCTCCGATGTGACGTCATCGCCGGCCTGGAACGGCGTCATAAATGGATGCAAGAGTTCACCACTTCCAACGCGAGGAACAGCATTCTTCTCGATTATACGGGATCGGCCCAACCGCAGTGAATATATCAGAACATGGATACTCACGTTTACATTGCGTTTATTATTTCTGGTGCTAACATAAGGTTAAGTGTGTCGCTGGGATACTGGGAGGGGCACTCCTGATCGTCCCGTGACTACCTAAGGTTTTAAGGACATTCATTCCCCATTCTCCAGGCAACACAAGACAATCGGATGGAAAACATTGGAGCATCGCGACCTACGGGGCATGCTCTACGAGACATAACCAAAGATGAACCACCAGTTACCAGATTATACATCCGAATATCGGGACAAATCACAAAACCCATGCAAACACTTGCCGAAAATAACGAAGAATTTCAATCGAACAGTCAAGCAACGCGCAAGAGACTAATATATATATATATATATATATATATATATATATATATATATATATATATTCCTGCATGCATGATTTTTAAAAACTCCTACGAATTACGCGCTGACAAGTTTCTTGATGCATTGTTCGAGGTTCTGAGATTTTGACTGAGCAACATCGTTAAGATAAAAGATTGTTGGTACAAATCACTCATGCACTTGTCGATATCCGTATATTCCAACGTTTCGATAACTTAACTGATCATCGGAGAAATTTAAAGGGCGTAAGAAATAAGTTTTGAGTTTTAAAGGATGAAAGTTATGCACCGCTATCTTGAAAGCTTCTTTTAGTACAAAGACAAAGATTCCTATCGTTACTTGGATACGTATAAAATGCACCTCTAATAAAAATACTACAAAGACACATAACCACAATAACATCCACAGCAGCATCGCACACAGCCTTATAACTCAAGAGTTGTGCAAGAATGTGTTTGAAAACTTCCAGCTCCATGACAGTGTAATGCTCACACAGCCGGGCGCTCTGCGGAGACAAGGAACGTGAATGCTCGCACTTTTTTGCTTGACTGGATTTCTACTTGCTAACTTGCATCTTATCACAATAAGATTTGTGATAATAGATTGTTATGGTCATGGCTGAGATTCTAGATTTCTGGTTATGGTTTGCGGGGAGCCCCCTCCCAGCCCGACGGTTTTGTACCATTATATCATGAAAAAAAGGCCAAGTGATACACCCTCTCATCCAATGACATGCTTGACGACAATGTCTTTTGCTTCAGCAATATTACATCCTCCACACATATTACAACTGAGTACCATTGAAACTATCGCAAAAACAACCACGTATGCCTGGTTTGAAACAAATAATCAGCACTTCTAGGGAAAAATATTTTGTAAAAGCATCATCACCGTCCAAAGATCAAAATCTGTACTATGACCTTCGAACATGCTGTTACGGTTTTAAAAATTAAGTGAAAAAAATTGGAAACAGACAAAATATGCACCACCTCATTGCAAACTCTGCGGTAACTTCGTATAATTTAAAATAATCATTCGCTGCGTTATAGGCCCGTAAACATGCCTTTGTTCGCTGGCCTAATAAAAATGCCCAGACCTTAGCTTTTCAACCATTGTTCTGACCCGTCATAGAACAGTACAGGGGTATTCAGGGAATAAGACGGCCCCTTGAAAGAATTTTCATTACAATACAAATATTAGGCGTGATACCCCCGTCGATTTGTCGTAGGATGCCCTCGCGCATCAATTACGTTGGTTATTTGCGCATAGCTCGGCAATTTATCACAGATTTGTGGTAGGGTGTCCTAGCGCATCCATTACGTTGGTTATTTGCACATAGCTCTGCAATTTATTACAGACAGCCTGTCGGTTGAAGTATGGCACCAAAGCACAGCTACGAGCCTGTAGCACTGATGAGGCGCAAACTTAGAACTCCAGCATTTCGCTAGCCTGGTCGCGTCCGGTCGTACACAAACTGGAATCTTAAGGATTTTTTAATGATGAAATGGAGGAGGTGTCCGCGGAAGGCTGCTCACCAAGAAGCTGTGGAACCGGTGGGGTGGCATAAATCGGTCCCTTTTGGCGTCAACATGGCGCCACGTGAGGACGCGAGCAGTGGTCGGCCCACCGCCGCATCGAGAGCACAATGGTGGGTCATCTCCCAAGGGATGGCGTGTGTCTGTGTTTGGTAGCCATGACCAAGGCGGAGCCGGCAGAGCGCCACCTCCCCGGGGCGGTACTTCATATGGCTAAATGTCCACTCAGCTATGGCGGGTTTGACCTCGCTAAACCTGATGGAATCAGCATTCTACCTCCGCTACCACACATCACCAATATGTGTGGATACCATACATTTTAAGTCTGAAGCAGAAGCGGGAAAACTGCATTCGCCGCCTGCTCAGCTTAGCAGCGGCGTCCGCAAGTTCGTTGCTATGGAGAACAGCATGGCTCCGTATCCACAAGATCACCTCCTTACAGCTCGCACATAGTCCGTGTGATCGCGTACAGATATTTCGCCGTAGTAGCTAAAGCAGCGACGATAGTGGTTTCAAAGAAAACAAATAGCTAATTGAGTGGATAAAAATGAGAAAACGTCTTCTTCGGTACGTCTTGATAAATTTCAAGCAGTGTAAATCGTGTATAGCCCGGCATAAAAAACGGACGCACCTGTTGGTAAACAAAAACGCCTAGTAAATAATCACATACAAATGCACAGCCCGTCCCAGTGGACTACTTTGACCGATCAGTACACACTTCGGTGTAGTTTGACAACTGTGGGATTCGCACAACCGCCAGCTGTTTCAAGTCACCTGGTTATACTTTGTTGCCATGGCACAGCGCCATCGCAGAAGCCATTTCTTTTGGCCACCTCTGCCCCGGAATTTGATCCCCGTCATCTTTATCTTCAGCACTTCGCGGAGCTTTGGCGCATACATCCAGGGTGTCTCACAGAATAGGATTGGTCACCATATGAACCTATAATATTCCACCTAAATAATCTGGCCACTACGACGCAGCTTAAAAAAGTCAATTCAAACGAAAGGCAATCAAAATAAATCGACAACGGACGTCGGACTGAGCACCTATAACTCCCGCGCCGAGCCTTCAACCACCGCTGTCAGACCTCCGCCGCACAAACACACACACTCCCGCCAGCTGCACGCACCCGCCCACAGCCAGCCCTCCGTTACACGCACCCGCCCACAGCCAGCCGTCCGTTACACGCACCCGCCCACTGCCAGCTCTCCGCTGTACGCGCACCCGCCCATTGCAAGCACCCCGACCTCTCACCTGCGCCTCGTCGACTAGCTTCCCAGAATCGTCCAGGTCGAGCAGCGGCTGCCACTCTGTCTCGCCTCCACCGCCCGCGTCGCCTTCGTCGTCGGAGGGCGGGGACTCGGCGGCGGCCGGGGTGGCCGACCCGCCGAACAGCTGATCGGGGATACCGGCCGTGGCCAAGGGTCGGTCGCGACCCGCGTCACCCGGCGGCGGCGGAGGCGGCGGCGGAGGGGGCGGCGAGGCTGGCGCCGGCACCTCGGCTCCGTCAACAGACGCCTGCGGCCAGAGGCCGACGTGTTATACGCTGGAGGCTCAGCTCCATCCGGCATTGATGGCGCATTCAGCAACGGAAGGACTACTAGAAACCATTGGAATGGAGCATTGCCTCCTGCTGCAGGATATCATCGCTGGAATCAATGACAGTTCCAACGCAATACACATGTAGCGACGACCGCCCAAATCGATTTGACGGAGCTTCAAAAGACGCAGGGCATTACACCTTAAGGACTTATACGCAAAAAGCCTACCAGGGAACTAAATGCACAACAGTACGCAAATGTTATGCTCCATCAGATCATATGCCACTTTATCCACGATTGACAATGTATAGTGGAGCCTGCCGCAACATTTACACATTAACTGCATCCCCTCTGAGGATGCACATGCTTTCACTAGCCGCCTTACGCGAGACTCACCAAGCACATTACGAAAAAATCGACCCGATTCGATCGTTATTCCAGACGACCTGACGGGCTACGCGGGGTGCAGTGCCCCACCTGGTTGGGTCGCAGCACTTGGATGGTGCCGGCTACAGTGCGGATCACCTTCACCTCGACGTCAGCCAACCGGCTCCTGCGGGGCCAGCAGCAGGCGGCTTACTCCGGGAGGTCAAGACCAACGCCGACGCTCGCAGCATAACAGGCAGCTTGCTGATGTCACCATGAGACCCCCCCCCCGCCCCCGCCCCCATCAGACACAACCAGTTGACCGATGTTTTTTTTTTTCTGCAACGTGGTTAACAAAGTAAATTTCCTTGAACGGAATGTTCTACATTTGAAAAACATGAGGCAAGCATCAAATTTCATGAAATAAGCTCACTTATAACTATTGGTTTGCTTCTAAGTGTAAAAGACTGCTCTAAGAACAAAAGTTCGCTAGCGCGTGAATAGATTCCTTTAAAACGTCATTGGAACATCTTTATGAAGTCGGGGTCGCTGCCAGACCTTCCGTAACCGGAATTGCCACTGTAGGGGACGGGCTGGCTCACTTCAAGTACTTCAACTTGCCGAGAGGTGGAGGCGTTTGTTGGTGCGCGTTGGCTAAACCCGAATATGTTGTGCTCGTTGTTTTGGCCGCCCCTCGTGGTTTCTTATATATTTTCCGTGATTTTGCATTGCTAACTTTCTTTCACATGTTGCGTTATGGCCCTTTTCATAGGTTATTCGGTTCCCAGCCTTATTTCCGTCATAACTCGTACCACTGCACAAATTCCCGCCCTATGTAAACATACCGCGTAATATGTGTACGACATCCGCCCCGTTATCCTCTTCCCTGCTTTATCCTGCATCCTCGTGACGCCCTTCTTGTCCGAAGCGGGCTGCATGCGCCATGAGTGGGCCAAAAGACACCCGGTGGGGCCTCCGTCCGAGTGCCAAGCGCACACCCCGACAGTGAGGTCACAGCGCGGGCTTAGTCTCGGCGGTTGAGTCCCAAGGTGCATGCAGCTCTGCTGCACGACTTTCCACTCTCTTTTACCCCACAGCCCAGAACTGGCATTACTGGCCAAAAGGACCGTGGTATATATATATATATATATATATATATATATATATATATACATATACATATACATATATATATATATACATATATATATATACATATATATACATACATATACATATACATATATACCATGGAACCACGAATCGTGCAGCATGATTCGCGGCACCACAACCACTATCATTCGGGCGTCGAGCTTAGAAACAACATGAGCTTAAGTCTTTGAAAGGGCATGGCTATCAACTCCCCTGAATGATCTTCAAAGTGACTATCTCAGTTCATAACCCCATACAAATACGGAACACTCTCTTTGCAGGCACAGATGCCTGCTGGTTAATATATGAGATACTGCATTAAATAGGAGGACGTGGGTAAGCCCAGTGTCTGGGCAGGCATCTCGCCGTGCGCATGCACGTTCGGCGCAGCCGATGCCCGCGGCTGCGCCGGCCTGTACCGGCGGCGTGAGCGGCTGCGCCGGCCTGTACCGGCGGCGTGAGCGGCTGCGCCGGCCTGTACCGGCGGCGTGAGCGGCTGCGCCGGCCCGTACCGGCGGCGTGAGCGGCTGCGCCGGCCCGTACCGCGGCGTGAGCGGCTGCGCCGGCCTGTACCGGCGGCGTGAGCGGCTCCGCCGCGGACTGACCGTCGGCAGGAAGAGCGGCGGACGGGCGGGATCGGGTGGAGCGCTGGCGGCCGCCGCCACCAGCGGTCCGTCCTCGCGGCGTGCCACCTGACGCGTCTTGCGGGGCCGGCCGCGCCGCCGGACCGCCCCGTCCGCCGCTTGGGAGGGCTCCTGGACCCGCCGACTGTCGGCAAACATGGCGACGGGTCAGGCACTTCATGAGTGCGGGGTCATGTGACTGGTGTTGGGATGCAACTGCAGGTAACAATTATTCAGATATAACAGTGGGGAGGGAGGACCCTTTACTCACCCTGGGAAAAATGGAAGAAACAAACAAAACTGGAGTTAGCTGTGCCCTCAGTAGCATAAAGTCACATTTTTGCTTCAGGAAAGGCAGGCACATTGAAGTCAACACCTCAATGAAAAAGAACTTCACACCCAAAGAACCAGAAGCAAGCACATAGGTGGTTTCTGCTGCTTACCATCAAGCCAACATCCATCGTGAAGCAAATTTACACAAAGCATCACTCATTAAAACAGATACTCCATGGACACACATATACACAAATGGCAGGTAAGTACTTATTCCATGCAGTTTGAGCTTGTGTGCAAGACTGAAGAAATCTGAAAACTCTTCTGATGGTAGATTTCCATAATAAAGATAATTCAGCAGGTGGTTCAGTGAATCAAAATCAGTATCTAAGATCAATGTTGGATGTTCACCAGGGTTGCCCTCAAGGAGGTCCTGAAAAAGTACACAAAAATAAATAAGCATGGTATGCATTTTACAGGATATTATGACAGCTACATTGCCATTTTCAGATGGGTTGTGTTGGTCATATTTTGTGTAACATCTGTGTGCTTCTGGCATGTTATTGTTCAAATAATCATGTTTATTTCATATTTAAGCTATCAATGCACATTCCAAACATGTTCTAACCTATTCAATGGTCTAGTTATATGTTTGCCTTATGAATTATACTTGTCATCCAAGAGTAACACAATTCATGCCTAACAAGAATGTGATAAACATGGCAAAATAGTTATCCCACACTTAGTCAACATGTCATGGTACTTTGCACAAATGCTTAGGTAATGGGGTTGTGCATGTGTGTGTTCAGGTGTGTGGGCTAGATGGAGGGGCAACCAAAGTATGCTTATGATGCACAAACTACATTTTACTTGCCAGGAGGAAGTCTGATGCAGCTGACAGAACTATCTTGTGCGCCTTCAGCTTGCCATTAACGCAAGCAACTGTGCAGTCCAGAAGTGACTCTTTTTTCCCAGAGCTTTTGGCAAGAGGATACCAATCTTGCACTCAGTTCCTGGGTTGCAATCATTGCTCCTCTGCGCCATGCAGCATGCAGCAAGGCCACCTGGAAAATAATTTGTTATGCTTATATGCATGATATAAATCCATGCATAGCATATCAAAAGATTATGGATCAAGTATGGGCACTGCATGACCTATAGCAGTCGATGCACCCTAAAACCCCCAAATCATCATCATGGATCAAGTACATTGATCCTTAAAACATTATTTAAATGTCATACAACAAAACCAGGACATCTATGAAACAATGTCATGTAATACCACAGTAACCACAAGAATCCATTAATCTTTGTTTGATGAAAGTTCTAACCATTTTCATGCTCTGCTTTCAGTCAAAAGCTTTGAAATTAAGACTATAGCCCCATTAATTTTAGACGTCGCTTACTTTTCAAGTATCGAAAACCATGAGTTGCAATCATACGAATATCTTGAAAACTAAACGGTACATTACAGCAAGAGTATTCTTTTGGAAAATCATGCTGTACATACCGCAAGTCCGCTAATGTCCTGTCCTTTATCAGAAATAACAGCGCCGGCCACGAACCCGCGCTTCCTCGCAGCCAGCGATGTTTATAAACACAGTGCGTGATGGCAAGGAAGTGCGGTTCAGACGCACATGTGCTGACAATGACGTCATTTCCAACCGAACTGGCAATTCGGTCGGCCGATGAACGAGTCGCTGCCGAATCTGCATTCTACGGGGTGTGATATGTCGCCCTCCACTGCCTTCGCCAGTTCCACGGCCTTCACAGATAGGTGAAGAACACAGGTACTTGCTACACTTAGATCTGCTGGGTACACGGGAAGGCACCCTGCCAGATCAGGGAATGGTTACCCATTTTCTAATAAATGGAATGAGTGATTATAAGCACTCAAGGCCAGCTAACTACTTAAACAAAGATGATAACCACAGCAATAGCCAGAATGATACATCCGATAACAAAAATTTACCTTTCAACTGGATCGCAATGTTATGTTGCCTTGTAGTCTAACGTACGTACCAGTCACCTCACAACGCCATGAGATCCGCATGTTATCTATTTCACAATGCCGTAGCACTTATTAAATCAACATATTCATCATTCGCCCGATGATGTAGCTGCAGCGAACGTATCGTCCAACAAGAAATCCTCACGAGCCTTTAATGACGCCTGACTGGCTCCCAGGTACGCGTGTGAATCGGACCGAGACATGCCGACCGGATGGTTGCGAGGCTCCACAAGTGTCCTCCGAGAAAAATGTCTGGGATTTGCGCACACTTTGTCTGCGAACTGACGGTGAACACTTAACCAAATTATGAACAACTGCAATTCGGTGACCTGAGGTGAGTGGTCCTTCCGGAGCCTAAAGACAATCAGAACATCAAAACTGGAACTGAACAGCTTGTCGAATTTTAGGGACGTTGCTAATAATTGATTCACAGCCAGTAGGAGTAAAGAAAATGAAACCTGCCAATGTGTGCTCAGTCGGGT